ACCGTAAACCCTGACCCTAAACCCTAAACCCTAAACCTTAAACCTTAAACCCTAAACCCTAAACCCTTCTCTCTCTCTCTCTCTTTCTCTCTCTCTCTGTCTCTCTCTCTCTCTCTCTCTTTCTCTCTCTCTCTTCTCTCTCTCTCTTCTCTCTGTCTCTCTCTGTCTCTCTCTCTCTCTCTCTCTCTCTCTCTCTCTCTCGGGGGGAGAGAGAGAGAGAGAGAGCTCTACTGAATCTTCGTCCGAAGGAAGCTAGGTCAATCTGTTTGTAGGGCTACCGCATAGTCGGGGAGCCGGTCTGTTTGAGGTTCAACATTGCTTCTGAAGCAAATCTTCATCCGAAGGAAGCCAGGTCATTCTGTTTGTAGGGCTACCGCATAGTCGGAGCCGGTCTGTTTGAGGTTCAATATTGCTTCTGAAGCAGACCAGCTCACCCTGTCTACGCTTGCCTGCTTCCTGAGCCAACTTCAACTTTGCCTTGCCAAAGAAAGCAGCTGTTACCTCAGATATCTTTGAAGCTGCTGGGTGAAATTTCGGGTGTGAGATCATGGCTGGCTGAAGCTGAGCAAGACTCTATTTCTGTGCTGGATGTAGAGGAAGTCCTGAGAAAGGGACTGCAAAACAGCAAAAGACCAAAGAGATTGCTAGCCTATTGGCTAAGGGGATCTACAATGTCAAGAAGATCAAGCAGCGTCGACAGGAGCCTGCCTCTGTGCCCTGTGCCTGTGCTGAAGAAGGTTGGGTTCGTTTTTGGTGAGCCGACTGCTTCAGTACGGCTGCAGTGCAGGCCCTACTCAGGTTGTTGGTTCTCTCTTCTACCCTATCTAAGGATATCAGACATTTAATAGCTTTAGGACTGGCCGAACACCAAGCCACTGATCCGGCGATTGGATATGCTCGAGGCACTCAGCGCCAAGCGCCAGATAGAGATGACCGATGACTGAGAGTCAGACACGTGCTGCCTAGTTTTGACTACTTCACTGAATCTGAAGTATTTAATTAAATTCAATGTGTCTCTGTGGTACTTACCACAGATACTGAAGGTTTTGCTGTGTGACAGTGATATGTTGTCTTGGTTGTGCCTGAGCTCAACAACTTGTCAATTTCAGCAGTCGTGCAAACCAATACAATGCCAAGCTCAGTGAGAGTGGAATGTTCTTGGTGGTAACTCGCGTCGAGGGGTCAAGGAAGTGTGGCTCTTGGTTCCTGACGAAAACCCACTACCGCAACTTCAAGTACGAGGAGGAACTCCTGGATTACGACGGGGAAGACGAGGTCACCAGCGTCGTCGCAACCTTCCTGTCGGCAGCCCTGCGTGCGAGACCATGCTCAAGGGCGTCATCAACTTTGCCATCAAGACTAACCGTGCAAGTGGTCGAACACCGAAAACAAGAAGGCCAACTCAAAGAACAGAGATGTCCTGCATGCCTTGTGAACAATCCATCATGTCTGGCACGATGAAACGTGTGCTTTGCCGCCTCCTCCGCCAGGAAGCGGCCAAGGCCCGGAGGGAATCGGCTATGGAAGCAGCAGAAGCTGCAGCAGAGAATCCCAACAATCCAACGTTTGCAGACGTCTTCGCGGAAGATGCGGACGCTGCCACCGTCGCTGAGCCCGAGAGCGAAGAAACCTACGCTCCAACCGAAGGAGAACCTGACGTGGAAATGGATGGACGATCTGGAAATGTCTGGAAGAAGATGAGCATGTGGAACAAGGCCACGTCGAAGGCCAGAACGCTGAGGCAGGCCAAGCAGTCTTGGTGACCGCGTGCAAATTCAACGTCGACAGCATTAATTCCCGAGTGAGGATGAAGCTTCAGACAAGACCGAGTATGCCAGCTGCGTCTGCGTTGATTCCTTCGACTACTCTTTATGCTTGTGCATCCACCGCTCATGGAACTATGCAGTCAAGTGGATGCCCATGACGAGAACAGTGATGGAAGAGCTGTTCAAGAATGGGAAGCGTTATGAGGTTTCCGGAACATGGGGCATATTGGCTGAAGTCGCTAAGGTGACAGGTCTCAGTCGCGATGTGACCGACGACGAGCTTCTCGCCTATGAACGCTCGCTAGGCGTGGAGGACGACCCCTCCGGGGAGTTCCCTTTGAGGAGAGTCCGGCAAGTAAAACCTTGGAAGAGGTGCGTATTTGCTGCCACTCCGTAATCTCAGAACATGTCAGAACTCATCGCGAAGACGTACGGAAAAAAAACCAATGATGAATGAGAATACATCTTCATCGACCCGTGCGGCATCATCCAGCTCTCGAGCACAGATCAATCCGCTTGTTCCACTATGGTGGCAATGGTGGATCATGGTATTCCTTTGGATCCACGCTACCGCAGGAAGCTTGACGAGATCCTCAAGCATCTGAAGCACATGCCGAGCGATGTAGTGCTTCAAATCGCATCTTCTGCACATCTGGCACCCGGGCAAGTTTTCATTACCGACACACCGGTGCCAGACGATGCCAACGTACCGAACCCTAAGGACCACCGCCTTTGGAAAGCCGAGTCCAAAGCACGTCCATAATCGACCATATGAGCGCGACCGATCCGACAAAGGAAAAGAAAAACAGGTGGCATTATGACCATGTCTACTGACAAAATACCCCTCCAGGATAGCCTTATGAGAGGACCAACTCTTGTTCTCTTGCAGAATACAGTGATCCCCAAGTGTGCCAGCATGATGACAAGCTGACTGTCGCTCTTAGAGTATGTATAGTTGTGTACTGATTGCAGCGGATGGCTCAGGCCAAACACGTTGCAGCATTTCAGCATGAAAGCACGCGCGTCAGATAGGCATAACATGTAAAGGTACAGCAGCCTCAGACGTTTGGCGTGTGTGAGAAAACAATTCGATCAATCCTCGCGATGGTTGTTGGCGCACCCTTTGCTGCATAAGACCTCCAGCCTTTCGCTTATAGCTTCAGGAATCCGACTGAAGCTTTACATCTCTATAAAGTGGGTTTGTGCTTTTTTTATAGAAGGGTTTTTCCTGCCGAAATCTAGGGTATGTCAGGGAAGGCATACTATAGCCAGAAGCCGGCCGGGAGGTTTGAAAGGTCGACATCGATGGTAGAACCATGTATCGTCATCTCGATTGTTCCGGGTGAGTCCCGGGAGTCATTCTATAGCCCCACAGGTTCTGGCCCGCAAGCCTAAACCACTAAACACAGAACCCAAAGCCCCTAAGCCCAGAAGCCAACCCTCAGACCCTAAATCCAGAACCCTACACCCCCAAAGCCCAGAAACCCCAGCCCAGAAACCCTACACCCCTAAACCCGTAAACCCAGAACCCCCACACCCGTAAGCCCAGGAGCCCGCAACCTAGACCCAGAGCTCGTAATCTTTCAATCCACCCAGAAACCTGAACCCTCAGCCCCTATGGTACGCTATGTTACCAACCGTGTATACGTGTGCCTTCGGGACCGTTGCGCGGGCCAATTGCCACAAGTATTCAGCTTCGCTGCAATGCAATCCTTCGGCTCGAAAATGAGCTACCGCACTAGAATAATTCGAAGCCATTCAACCACTCGGAGTTATTTCGAACAGAGTTTAAAAAAGGTCAGCCCCAGTGAAGCCTTGCACTTCGAGGGACAGAGATTACGTAGTGCAAAGCAGGATTCAGTTGCGCAACATCAACTTCATTGACATCATATCAACGCCCACGGTGAGGGGACCTAATATCGATACGGAAACCTCTCGCACATTCTAGTGAGTGCATAAATTGGCGCGGTAGTGAGGACGGGAGAACTCGTCGTGTGGTAGGGTCGGCAAAGCTTTTTTTCTCTACATTAGCGAGCTATGTTGGAGGAAGGGAGGGTTTGTACGAGCGACCCAATAAAGCGGGAAGGTGGGGAGAAGGGGGCGTGTGGTAAGGGGTGGGGGCGGGAAACTTGTGCGTTTGGGAGGAGGGGCGTGTCCGAACGTATTCTTTGGAGCTGAACTTCATACAGCGGACGGTCGGGAGGAAAGGGCAGAGGGACACGAAGCTTCCCAAACACCGACAGCAGGTGTCCGCGGATATCACATCGCAGCCTTAATCTGAGAACTGCATGACATCGTTGTGCAACACATCAGTCACTCATCAGTCCCTTTGCACGCGCGACCGGCTGCAGTGCTTCCGGGTGGTAGGCCTGTATTGGTCTGTTGTTTTGTTTTGCTATTTTTCCCTTTCTCTTTCTCCAAGGCCAAATCGAAATTTGAACAACATGATACTTATGTGACTTATGTGTTGAACATGTTATAACATGATGTCGGAGGTTGTCGGATACTTTTGCCATACTGGAAGCATGCGACAGATCCTACAAAACTAAAGCAGTTTCGGGATGTTCCGGGTACTTTCGGTAGCTGTTAACTTTTAAGACATTTTTTTCATTCGCCTGTGCCGTGGCGCAGCTGGCAACGACCAGGATCCGAGATTGCGAGATATTTGCTCGGTTCGTTTACAAGGTCATGGCATCTTGGCATTGAGCTTGAGATGTCGTTCCCATGGTTCAATTCGCACCTTTGTTTGCTGTGCACCGGCCAGCCTTAGGTTATGTTGTCAGCCCAGTGACACTTAGTGCCGAGACCTTAAGTCGTTTCGTGGGAGTCTGACCAACCCACTACAGCCTGCACATGTTTGAGCTTCAGGCCGTCGTTCCTTCCAAGTCCAATCTGCGGCAAGCCAAGCAATTAGCTCAGCTGCATTTCCCGCTACAGCCTCCGGACGAAGCAACTTGCAACTGCTAAGGGCCGTGCAAATGTCTTCGGGCCCGGGATTGTCAGTGGCTGCCGTCGGGATCTTTCGTGCTCTTTACAACACACTCAGGGTGCCCACGACCTCTGGTTATTTGCACGTCTGCCGGTTTGCCAAGCAACTGATATATATATATACATACATATATATATATATATACATATATATATATATGTATACAAATACACACACACACACAACCAACCAACACACACACACACACATATACACACGATGGTTTTTCATGTGCATCAATCATTCAAGCAGTGCCTGAGCTTAGACTGTGTACCAAGGCTGGTGCAGCAGCGGTCACGGCAGCTGTTGCGGCAGCATGTGGGCAGATGCCTGCGCAGGCCGCCTCCCATTCAGCTGTGCTCATTCGAAAAGCTGTTCCTGACCCGCAGGCAGGGCAGTTGGCACCTGCACTGGGAGTCCTCGCCTGGGTTTGGTTGCATGCATTCCTGGGCAGCTGTTTGTGCCCGTTGAGGTCAGTATGCGGAAGACGGCAGCAGCACCATCTCCTTATGACAAGGTACGTACGCAGGTAGTGTGACCAGCTGTACTTTGCCCCGAATCTGCAGTCGAGATTTCGCATGCATTATTGTGTTAGTGAGTGTTCATTCATAGCAATACTTTTATTATCCATACTGTATTTGATTTGCGCAGGCGGTATTTTGTCCCCCGTCAGCATTGAATGTTGGCGACAGGTGTCGGCCGCGCCGTTGGTCCCTTTACAAACTAGTATTATGCACTTTTTGAGTGCAAAGCCTTTCAAACGCTAGCCAAAGGCCAACGGCTACTAGGCGCAGCGGCTGGTCACCACGTTCCCTTCTGGGATTTTCGGGGCTTGCGCCATGTCGTGACAGGTCACAGTATTGGCGATACGGACAGGCGGTCCCATCTATTGCATCTATTGGTCAGAGGATCTCCGTAGGACTGCAGAATACGTGCAAAACCGGTAAGCAAACGTCGAGAATGCTGCAGTGTCGTTTGAGTTTGCATGACGGAGCGTGTCCATCAGGCCGGACCTGCCAACAGCACGCGTGTTTCCGATTTCTGCTGGTATTTGGAGCAAAGAAAGGGGTTGCGACCCTTGCATCTCCGTGGTGCAGCACAGTGCAGGCGCATATTCACAAGCATTCATCCGAAACTTATCTCTATCTCTAGATGCAAATTCCGGCCCGAAATTGCTCAAATCCAGACTTGTCCCAGATGTTGAAAGCTTGGAGACATCGACCATCTGTAGGCGTTTCTGTCAGTCTAGTGTTTGATGAAATCAGCAGCCTTTCCCGGACTGGTCAGGCGCATAAATACGGCTCGAAAAACGCAAGCATTTGTTTGTTAGTGCACTTGGCTTCTAGTCTCGTGCGTTGCAGGCAGAGGTGCCATTCTTTGACCCGCAAGTGCCACCATCTGCTCCGACATGCAGCAGAGCTGTTGGACCTGCCGACGACTGAATGGACGATTGTTTACTTAGAGTGCGCCAACGTGCAACACATCTTCCTAAAAGGCTTCTGTGCCAGCCGTGCAACACCCCACTTCTCGTGTCTCACTGCGCCGGGTTCCCAGACTCAGGCAGATCTATCGAAGCAGAGGAACGGCCGCAGATTAATCGGATGTGTACATGCTCTGACTCAGTCATCGTGTACACAAGGTGACCGAGCACCTTTTGTCGCACCTCTCAGCATGGAGGATGTGGAGCAGCCAGGAGCTCTGGCAGGCAAAAAGGGCAGGTTTGCACTGAGACCTCACGAGAGTGGTCCCAAGGTCGCCTGCGGTGGGACAGGGACAGCGTGCTCAAAGTGCTCAACAGATCTCCGGTGGGCGGTTTAGCTTTGCTTTCCGCACTGGGTAGCATCCTCATCTTCTGAGCGCGACGAGTCTGAAACGAGGCACCTGGCAAACTCCGTTTGCCATGGCCCCGGCACGTAATTAGAACGTGTTGTGAAGGTACAGCCTGACTGCTTCTAGCACATGCACCTTGGGCGATGCACACGGCTCCTAATCGACCTACACCCCCCGTGACCCCGTACTACCAGCACTTCGCCACATCTATTAGGTTGTCTGTTGTGCCGTGAATGTTCGTTATTGGTTAGCTGGTTCCATGCGCATGAAGTCCGCAGCATGCCAACCAACTTCAATGGAGCCTTAGAAGTGGGATCACGCATCGTTCCACACATTGCCATGAAGGATTTTGTGCGTCGGCAGCTCATCGAAACTATGACGTGTTGGGACTGTAGGGGCAGTCACCTTTGGAGAGCAAACCCCAAGCGCCTTTTGTTCCAAGTGCTGTCGCACGTGTCGGGTGTCCGCCTGTCGGCCCTTGAAAAGACGGAACTGGCAGGAGCGCTGGAAAATCTTGTTCGACACAAGCGACTGTTGCAGCATGCGGCTGGAGCTGGGCAGAGGCACATCGAGCAGCACTTCTCGAAAGATGTGTCTTCTGAATATCATGCCTGGGAGAAGCGCCTTTTGGCCTTTGAGCTCTTGCCTTGGGCATCCTCCGAGCTACCCGAACCGCCCGAACCCATCCGCTTTTCGTTTCCTGATTCCTTGTACTGCCGACTGTCCACCCAGCTAGGGCACCGAAAATGCCAAGAGTTTTGTGAAATATCCAACGAAATACCATATTGGTCGTTCTTGCGCCTCAAAGCGATGTGTGGCCTGGAAAACCTCGAACAAGTGTCTACAGATCTTGCAAGTCTGGGGTACACGACCGAGCAGTGCAAGCGCATTGACAACTGTCTCCGAGTTTCAGGTGATGGAAGAGTGCCTGTGCAGCAGCTGGACCTGTACTTGAGGGGTCGGGCTGAAATACAAGACGAATCATCGCAGCTTATTGCCAGGCTGGTGGATTGTGAGCCTGCCAGCACAGTGGTTGATCTGTGTAGTGGGGCGGGGGGCAAGTCGCTGGCGATTGCCACTCGTCTTGGCCGCTCTGGCCATTTGGTGCTGCATGAACCTCGGCCCCGTGCATTGCAGCGTGCAAAGAGTCGCTTGGACCGTTCGGGCTTGGAGAACGGGCCCTGCTACCACTTCGTGGACGCAGGGGAGCTTGACTTGTGGATCGGAAAAGCTGACTGGGTCTTGGTAGATGCTCCATGCAGCAACACTGGCTCTTTGCGACGCCATCCTGAATGCAAGTACAGATGCTTCGAGCAGGAGGATGACAGGCGAGAGTTCGAACGCCTCCTAGAGACGCAGCGGCAGCTTTTGAGGCAAGCTTGTGGCCTGCTGAAGGACGATGGCATGCTTGTTTATGGCACATGTTCTGCTTTGGTAGAGGAGAATGATTGCCAAGTGCTGTGGGCCACAAGTACGGCTTCCCAACTACGGCTGGCTACTGTTGTGACGCATAGCTTCTTGCCCGAGAAGGGCGGCAGTGACGGCTACTACGCGGCCGTTCTAAAGAGGAAACCTCCATAACTGCGAACTTTCAGTGACGTTGACACTGAACAAAGTGTGCTGCAAATGATGCAGTAGGACACAAGGTGCCACGACAAGTGCAGAGTAGCTGGCTGTGGTTGCTTTGAGGTATCTTTATGTTAGAGGCCGAACCCACAACTGCTCACTATGGGTTTTGCCGAAACCAATAGTATTTCGTGACTTCAGCATTTGAAAGTGAACTTGCTGCCTTGCAACTGTTGTCATACTTACCTGGCAAAGAGCTCTCTTGACTCTTTACCTGTAAAAAGTCAGCCTGCAGCCAATGCTTCCCATGCCCAATCCTTGACTCGATTGCTGTGGGTTTGTGTTGGTTTGGCGGCAATCTCGTTCTCGTGATTGGTTTCGATCCTGATGAAGACATGTCAAAAACCGAGGACAGCATGCCACTCATGACGTCCACTCCAAGTGCTTCACATCATCGCACAGACCTTAGTGCATGGACGAAAGCGTTTCTTCTGTGCAGCCTGGTACTTGGCCTGCCACCTACCTGTTACTCACTCGTGTTTGCCGTGGTCAAAGGCAGAACCGAGTCTGTGCCAAGAAACCTTGGATCGGAGCAGCACTCAGAGTTGAGAGGTTCCTCATATGGAGTGGACTCATCGGTCGTGCCAGGAGAAGAGTGCCCGTGACTCTTGCGCTGTCGGCATCGAAGAAACGCCAGGCAGTAGCTAAACTGTTGGCAACTTGCTTTTTGCCAGGACTCCTGAGTCATACTCGGCTGTGAGTTCTACCGGAAACAGCAGCCAAGCGAGAGGCCTTCCGGAAACAGCAAACAACAACGCCCGGGCCGCACCCGCTGGCGCAACAAGAACACGCTCTCACCGGTTGAATCATATGGGGGAAAGGAAAGGAAATTCAATCACACCAATATAATAAGCTTGGCATAAACATTGAAACTACATTGATGCCCTAATTCACGATGCCGGCAAACAAGATGGACCGATAGGCGTACTGGCGGCTCTGCTTAGACCCTTTCTGCTTTAAGGAAGGGCACCGGGGACTTGAATCTTGGGTTTTAGAGGTTAGGGCTTGGGACAGGATGCACGGAGGCTTTCCTTGGAACTTTCTGGAAGCCCGCGGCCAACACCAAACAAGACGTTTGCGAAAAGAGTACGGCGACCAGGACGCGAGTGGATCACAAATCAACGGACTCAAGCTTTGCAGTTGTTCCGGTGAAATCACCAATCTTGTTTGGCGGGTATACGTGTTACCGTCTTGTTGTGTCCAGACTGACCGAGTGATACTGCGGCGGCAAAAGATATAAGCAAAGCCAGTACAGTATAGCTGAAGAGTTTCGCTGCGCGCAGGCTTGGCAGGCTTATGCGCAGACGGGCAGCTGCCTGCTGTGCCCCCACCTTACAGCCTCATGTGAAACTGCAGGTGAAGTTGCAGTCTTCAAGTCACACAGTCACCGTTCCGGCTTGCGGAGAAAAGTGACTGTGACCAGGCCGGCCACGCCGGAAACACTCAGCTTCCCGCAGTGGCCCATGCTGACACCCAACACCTTGGATGGAATGGGCTACAGCGTTTGTGCCTCGGAAGTTTGGCAGGAAGCTTGCGCTTCCCATGGCTGCCACTGCAGGTACAGAACACCTTCATCAACTTTGCAGTGCCATCGACACCCATGACAAACACCCGTTCGCACTCATTGTGTGAGCCTTACAGCGGCAGAAGTAGTTTCCGTTTTGCAAGCGCCGGTCGAGGACTTTCTGGCTTGGCTTTCAGGGCTTTAGTTGACGACAGAGTCTGGAGCTGCATCCCAGCGAGACTGTCGGGATGGAATAGTGTCGGAAGAGTTGGTGATGCTGTCTTAGTGACATCGCCCAGGCCACGTAATATGGGAGCATCCGGAAGTGAGGAGGCTAGCTCGTGCACAAGTTCTTTCCAAAGTTGCTCTTGTTAACATGTCCTGGCATGAGGCGCAAACGGGCGAGAAGGCCGAGGAGGGGATTATATAATAGGCTTGAGAAGATTCGCACAATTCAATGCGAAACAGCTCCGAAGTCAATGTCAGTGCTTTGCAGCAAATAACCTAAATGCTCCTGCAGCCCTCCGCCAACCATGCAGTTTCTTACAGAGCATGCAGACCGCCCTGATGCATTGGTGTTAGTCAATGTTTACTCAGACGCCTCCGCAGACCCGCCGCCACTCTCCAGCCACAGCAGCCAGAGCCTCCTGCTTGTTTCCGCCTCACGCCTCCCTGTGGTGGGAGTGTTCGTGGTGGGAGAAGGTGGGATGTGGTGAGAAGATCTGTGGTGGGCTTATGGCAGGAGTTGGAAGGCCGCGAAGATCTGTGCCGGGCGATGTTGTGGCGGGAGGCTGCGGTTGCCGGTATGAATTGGTGGGATGCGGTGGTGGGAGCAGGAGTGTGTGTGTGTGTGTTTTTTTTTTGTGTGTGTGTGTGTGCGTGCACACCTGAACATGTTGAGTAGCCTTTTCGTTTGCAGGGGGGCAAGGACGCCAGTGACCAGCCTTGACCAGCAAAGCCAAGTCACTGAAGTGGATGCAGTGGCTGATTACCACTGTGTACCTGCCATTTGTGACATCGTATATAATATATCGTATATCATAATCGCTGCGCTGTTTGAACAATGGCGTGCTCCATGCATGCCTGCCGCATTCTCAAGCGTTTTTATCCAGTTTGTTTTCGTCTTGTCGTGTCTGTTGCCATTCGCATTTTCACGCGCCAGAGTGTGTATTGTTTTGGCTGACCCGGCATGGAGGCCAGATCACAGGCGAGCCCGTGATAGCGGATGAGTGGGACCCGACGCGCCGCCATCGGGATCATTGCAAGAGAATGACATGTCCCCACTGCGGGATCGTCGGTGACCGCACGGTCAAAGGCCCGAGAACTGCATGGTCAATCAAGGCGGCATGTGCACTTGCTAGAGTTTGGTAATGCCGCATGTGCACGGTGGCGCGATCAAGGCAGACAGGCAGGCAGTCGGGCTTCTTGGTGCACATGCATGTCAGTTTCATGTCGGATTGCAACAGGATGCTTTCTCCGCATAGATTGAGTTAGCGGCGGTTGTTGGTCCCTGAATGTTCTGGGACCTTCCGTCCCCACATCTCCCTGTCTTCTCACTGCGAGCTGTTGTGTTGGCACAACAAGCTGGGCTAAGTTTGTCTTGTTTTCGTTTAGGATGCTGTACGACTTCCGAACGGGAGCTTGCGCCGGCCCTCGAAGCTGCCTCCTCTTCCTTTCTTGCACCAAGTTTTGCAGCCGAAGACGTGACCGTGGATCTACCACTTCCACGGAAGCCGCAGGTTCAGTACGTCTCGAGAATTCCGGGGTTCTTATACCGGGCAGGGGCCATCGTGCTTGTGTCGGGGCTGAGGGACCGTCCTGCCCTATTCAGGACTTGCTCGCGCCGTTTCCCCTGGTTTCATGCAGGCCCGCCTGCAATCAATGCTACAACCCGGGCGCTGCCGGTGTCCGGTTGGGCGCGCCCTGCATCCACCAAGATCCGCCGCCATTCCGGACGACTGGATTTCAGACAGCGACTACTTCGACACGCATCGCACCATCGACAACCTCAGTTGCCCCCGCTTCGTTGCCTCGTCCGTTTTTTTTGCGATAGAACAAGGCATTGAGGGGACGGATATGCAGTTGCTGCACCCCTTGCAATTCCTTCATCAAAGATGGAGCTCGTCTGGTTCCGGTGGATTGCTCACGGCAAAGAAGCCAATTCTGTGGCAAAGGGCAAGTCTGAATTGGTGTGCGTGGCCAGCATCTTGTTGCAGAGCTTCAGAAGTGGGTTCCCGATGCCATCGACGCCGAGTCTGGGTTGACCAACAATATGATGATGGCTTTCTGCAAAGGATACGCCGTGCTGGCATCATTTGGGAATTTCCCACCCATGTCTACCAAAGACGCAAGACTATGCGAAACTCATAGCATCTCATAGCGGTCGCGCGGTCGCATCATGCATGGAAAGATGACTGCAGAGTGCGCAGGGCAGCAGCGCGGATATCGGCCCACCCGCCGCTGCATCAAAGCTTTGCGCCAAATTTTGACGGTTCTCGCGCGACATATCTTGCACATGGATTTCCAGGCCTTCCGTCCGTGTGTCCCGTTGGTGCGTGGCGCGTTCCGGGCATGTGCCAGACACCCACGTGCTCAAAAAAACTCAAATTGATACGTTGCATGTGCCCTGGGCATCAAGCCTGGGCTCCGAGTTTTTACACTTTTGTGCTGCATCCGTGCTTTACTTTCGCTTCTCTCCGGTCCCCGGTCAAGTTGTATGCCAAAGTTTTTTATGTCGGCAGCACCGAAAAAGGCACCACTACTCGCGAACACCCCCGGTTTCGCAAGTACATGCAGGTGCTCGACAACAAATTTGTGTCAGCTGAGCGTTCTATCTGGCTTGTGGCTAAGCACGAAAGCTTTTGGGATCGGGTCGCCGTGACCGTATCCAGCACTGTGCCCACAGATGCATTTCGTAGCAGGGTGCAAGCTTCAGTTCAAACTCTGCAGCTGCCATTGAACTCAAATTTCTTATCCTTTCATTCCGAGGTGGTTTTGCCCCAAACGCGGGATTATAAGACCGCCTAGCGCTTTTCAGCGCTATCTTCAACACACACACACACACACACTTGTCGCACCCGTGAAGGTACCTGGACTTTGCTTACCGAATTGGGCAGCAAAACCTTAAACAACACTTCGAGGCTTGGCAAGCGCCTCCGAAACGATGAGTTCCGGCACACTGTCCTGTGTGCTCTGCATCGACTAGCGCAACACCTGCCAGCGAAAGCCAACACGAAACAATGCCTGAAAGACGGAGCAACACTAAGGAAAACTTAGCATAAACGAAGAAAATCTAACCGAACCTAGACAAAACCAGAATTTTTTTTGGAAAATAGAAAAAGCATGAAAAAACTAAGATAAAAAAATGGAAAAAGCTAACTCACTCCAAGATGTCGGATTTAGCTACGTGGTTGGATGCCTTCCAAGATCAGGGTGACGTCGTGACCAGCGAAGTTCGTGGGAACCTCCTGAAAAATCAGCCGCTCAGCATGGTGCGGTGCAGAACGGGGCAGTCGCAAACTGCCGGCCAGGGTGGTGGTCTTCGTAGTGCCAGACGGCACTTTCCTGCTGGGATTACCTTCATCTTTTTTTCGCCTTCGTCTCATTCCCGGTGTCTGATGTAGCGGGCAGAAACCTTATATACCCCATACGGATCATTTCATCCAGTTTTGTGTGCCATTACTTGTGTCTGGCCAGTTTGTTGAGGACCTCCCTTCAAGATTTTCATTTTGTGTTCAGAAATGAGATTTGGGTGAGATCAACAAACTGACAGGGAAGCCCTGATTAAGGGGTTGGCGGTTTCGGCCAAGATCGCATCTTGGAGCTCGACTTGGTGTAAGCAGGGGGCACGGCGTCAGATTCGTGGGTGGGGGGTTGGTGGGTGAAGTCTGGAACTTAGACCTGCATCACAAACAAGATGTTGGCGCTGCTTCACCCACAACTTCACAACGTGTCAGGAGACTGGATGTGGAGCGCATGGCCCGGCCAACCGCTTGATGTCAAGAGCTTGGTGAGTCTGTTGCTCGCTGTGCATTCGCAGATGTCCAGAATGAATAAGCTGAGTCATGCACCATCAGATCTGCATAAGTTCTATGTTAACATGGCGGATAAGGTCGGCTGCGGCTGCAGCGTGCTGTGACCCGACGCGTGTCGAGTCCTCAGCTTCTACTCAAGCGCTCGCATGCGACCCTGCTCCGCCAGCGCGAAGGGTCGCATCCGCAATTGTGACATTCGATTCTTTGGTTGTGACTTGTCCCTACGTGTGGGGGGCAAGTACTACTGTTGGCTTGTATCGTAGGACTACTGCTAGTATTATTCCATTCGTACAGCTGGTACTGGTAGTGCTACTAGTAGTAGTAGTA